TAATGGCCCATTCTAGTTTCACCAAAAGACTTAGTCTTCATACTGACCAATAATATGTCAGCTGGCATATTATTGCCATTGCTGGCAATAATATGCTAGCAATTGGTTTTGCCACTTCAGCTACAAGTCCTAACAGACTTTTAAGAATCGGTGAATCTTAGAATAATAGAGTATTTGTTTGAAAGGAAAGGATTATTGATTTTGCTGCTGTCTGAACCTTAAATTCAAGATAGCAACCCACTTGGGTCTCAAAATAATTTTTTTGAAAAAGCAGAGCAATGTTAGAGAGAAATTCTGTAGATAGTAGACTTTATATTAAGGAAATAGAGAAGCAAATTAGGGTTGTATATTGCCTTGTAGCAGTTTTAAATTCTTTTTTTTTTAATTCAATGACCCCCCTACCGCCCCCTTCTGTTCTTTTGCCCCCACACCGCCCCTTTTCATTCTACTGCCCCCCTGAAAAATGAAATCGCCCCCTGGGGGGCATTATCGCCCACGTTAAGAACCACTGCAGGAAATGATAGAGGGTAATATCTGGGCTGCTGTCTAGCAACACTAAACAAGCAGAAGGCCAGGTTCCCTATCACTGTGCAGAAAGGATGGCCTCTTTAAATATCTCTTAATGGGGAAGCTGCAGGATTAGGAAATGTGTTTGGTGCCACCTATAGATGGAAAATAAACACTATAGAGCAATAAGTAACAAGTTATGACACCAGGAGAGATTATGAATTTTAGAATGCTGGCCAGAAAGGAAATGGGATAAAGGGAATAAGACAATGTGGAGAAGGATCTAAAGTGTGATTATGAAGTTAGATGATATAGTTTCAGGGAGGCAATTGGTCCTACTAACCTCAGGTGGGCAACTATGGCCCTCAAGATATCATCAGTGTTGCTATTTTTTTCCAGCAGCCTCGGCCAGCCTAACTAATGAGAACTGAGGACAATAGATACAGACCAATAACTCTGGCTACTAGCTAGATTGTTCGCCAGCCCAATGTTAGCTACCCAAAGCTTCAGCAGAGGATGTTCCATAGCTCAGTTATTCCAAACTTGATGCTGTCCAAATGTTTTTGATTAGAACTCCCAGAATCCATCCAATACAGCCCCCCTGGAGAGAGTTATAGTCCAACACGTATGAAAGACACTGAGTTGGAAAAGACAGCCTTAGCCCAGCCCATTGATTTGAAAAACAACAGGAATAAAATTCAGAAGGGCTTTAAAAGCAGAGGTCTTATCAGTGAACTATGGATCCCATCCAGAACTTCAGTGTACCATGAAGATGTTGTTAGATTGCAACTATGAACATGCTGATAGAAGTAGTCCAATGATATACAGTATAGATGGCAGCATATTCCTTACCCAGAGTTTACTAGCTGCATATAATCACAGCTGTCATGGTGTGCATGGCTCAGGTAGACTGTTTTCAGATGTTGTACTGTGGTAACATATCAAGGAGGAATCTAATTATAACTTCCATTTCATATTAGATATTATTGTACACAGGTTATTTGCCAATATTTACAACAGGTGTGCAACTTATGGGACTCTAGCTACCATTATTCTTCACTATTGGCTATGGTGGCAAGGACTGTTGGAGGCACCAATCCAGTGACATCTGGAGAGCCACAAGCTGCCCACCACTGAATCCAATACATAAACTCCTCCAGAATTTCTGGAAGACTGAAAAAGATTCATTTGTATTTGTGTGTTGAAGAAACCCCATACTAAACTCTGTAAGTGGAGCTACAGCCATTATGGACAAACCAGCTGCTGAGGACCAAGAAGATGCCTTGAACAATAAGACTGTCTGTGCAGAATGCTTTGACAGCTGGATTGCCACCTTGTTTGTGGATGGATGACACATGCACAAATGAAGGATAAGGATAATCCTTAGTTAACAGCAGTTGCACAAGAGTACCCAGCTACTGGTCCTGCTTGCTGAGAAAACTGAACTCAGTCGAACTCGATTGACAGCTGTCGGACGAAGAGCATTCTGACAACCAGATGGGCGGGGTTAAAACTAGCCTCTCCCACTCAATCCTCCCCCTCTTCCTGTTTTCTGTCCTCTGGCGCAGGCGCGATGCGGCCCTTTAAACGTGCGCAAGGAGTTCCAGCGACCTCATTCCCTTGCTGGCTGAATCCTTCCGCCTTGCCCCTGAGGGACTTTTTCTTCTGCTTTCTATAGCTCCTGGAGCTTCCGGCATAAACCAGCGCCATCGGAGGAGAGGGCGGGACGGGGGTTTCTATATCCGATAGTTTTATCTAGAGGGGTGCGGTGGCGCTTGGAGGAGACCTCTTTTTAACCTGAGGCGACTGGCGGAGGGAGACGCTTTGTTGTTTATGGGGCAGCCTCCGTGCAGGGTATTGAGAAAGTCCAAGATGGCGATGGCTTCCAGGCCGAGGGGACCCGGCAGGCCCTGAGTCCAGCCAGGAAGGAGAGCGAGAGGGATACTTTGGGTCAGCGAGGCTCCGGGGAGACCCTACAGAGTAGGCGGGGAGCGAGGACGAGGGAAGCGGGGACCAGGGAGAGGAGCGACGGTTGAGCGGCCTAGTCACCCCCGCCCGTCCGGCCTGCGGCTCGAGTGAGGAGGAGGGGTCGGGCATGGCCCCCTGAGGGGCCCCCCCAGGGCGGGAGGAGTGGAGGGGTGACATGGAGTCAAGAGAGGAGCAGGGGGAGCAGAACGAGAAGGGAGAGCAAGGGACCTGGGGAGAAAGGGCTCCCCTCGGTGACCAGACGGACTGGGTGGCCCGCGGAGAGAAGGGGGATCGAGGAGTGCGGGGATCGAGGGGGGAGCGGGGCCCTTCAGGGGAGAGGGGGGATCATGGAGAGTGGGCTGAACGGAGCGCCAAGACAGAGAAGGGAGAACGGGGTGCCAAGGCTGAGAGGCTTCCTCGGGCTGACAAGATGGAGCAGGGGGATGGGGGTCCCCGGGGGGATCGAGCCCTTCGACCTCCTAGGTTTTCAGATCCGTCAGACCGAGGTTTGTGGGGGGCAGAGCAAGGTGAGTGGGTGGAGCGTGGCCCGCCCTGGTCTGGGGAGCCTGACCCCTTGTTGCCCCCTGAGGACTTTTTACCACCACCCGAGTGTCCTGTCTTTGAGCCCAGTTGGGCCGAATTTAGTGACCCACTAGGTTACATTGCCAAGATCCGGCCCATTGCAGAAAAGAGTGGCATCTGCAAGATCCGCCCTCCTGCTGTAAGTATGGAGTGATGTTGATGGTGGAAGTGATGATGACGACTAGTCAGTGTGACAGAAGTGGGTTGATTTCCTCTGAATTTGTGGGCAGCAGGCCGACTGCCCTAGGGCCTGTGGGATTAGGCCTGTGGGTTATGTCTCTGAAAAGGATAACAAGTGCTTAGAGCAGATGTTTGTTGGGCCTGAGGTCCATAACAGTGGCAACATGGAGTCTCTGGAGAGTAAAGTGTGATGTGGAGACAGTGGCCATACTGAATGAAACAAGTTTTCAGTAAGAATCTTTGAGAGTGAATGGAATCATAGTACCTGAAAGATATGGTTGAAAACTGGTTGCTGCATTGAAAGGATTAATGATTCATGGAAAGTGATTAATAGAAACTGGCAAGATTTGGTGAAAGTTATGTGGTTTTAAAGAGGTTGAAAGGTCTGGGTAACTCCCTTCCATGTTCTCTCAAGCTATATTACTTGTCCATTTTATAATCATATGGACATAGATGCCCCTGTTTTCGGACAGTTGTTTCTGTGTGATGATGGACTAGAAAAGCAGCACATACGGATTCTAGAGGTAGGAATGTTCAATATGTACACTGCTCAGAAATTGGGTATTTCTTAAAATAGGAGCATCCCTAGTGGTATAATCAGTGACAAGATGTAGTGTGTTGAATATGATGGAAAAAACAGCTTTGATACGATAAATTGTGCTTCTTCATCAACATACTGGACAAATTGGCACAGGCACTATGTCAGTAGGCTTGGAAGAGGCCTGAACATCTGTTTTGATTGGCAAGACTTGTAGTTTCAGACCATGTTGGTTGCACGGGTTTATAAGCTGGCCATGCTCATGGTGGTAGAGGTCCTTATATTTAAATTTATCTGGTGCCATTCTAGAGAGTTTGTACTATTGCCAAGTAGGAGAAACTGTAGGTTGGATCATCTGTTACCTTTATGGCCCATTATGCTTTCCGTTGTATTCTGATTTCCTAGTTTTCTGCTGCTAGGCCTCAGCTGTCACTGTCAGCCATAATACAGCACTATCCATAGCTGAAGTATCAGGGATGGTGTTAATCTTATATCATTTATTTCCCAGATATGACCTGTTTAATGCTCTTCCTTTCTTGAGATGAGGTCCTAGTCAAGTAAAGCCAAAGGAGGAAGTGTGAAACCATCCTTAAATAGTATTTCTGGTCATGAACAATAACAGTGACATATTCAATATGTCTGCCAGAGGCACATTCTTTGTCTAAGTAGTAGTAAGAAACAGAAGTCTAGGAAGTATGACAGCAATACTGTATTTATTTCTAGTAGAGTTTGCTCATTAGAAGACATGAAGAACTGATGTTTTGGGGGACCAAGAGGAAGAGGATATTGAGGCAGAACTACATAAGTGTGTCTGGAGGAGAGTGAACATTGTAAAACCCAGTTGGTTTCAGCATCTCTTGTCCTCTGGTCCCACAGAAGCTCCTGGAACAGAATTTAGGCTGCCATTCACCTTCCAAACTTCACTAAAAACTGTGATTTTTTTTAAGGGTAGGAAACTACTGGGGCCTATCCAGTGAATGTGTGGTGGATGAGAGGTGAAGAGAGGGGGTTTATATATATTTCCCTTTTTTATTTCTATAGAACTGTGAACTTCAGTTTAAAGTAGTCATTAGCCTCTAGATTGATAGCTTCTGCTTTCATTCAGTTCTCTAGTTTATGTCTGGACAGTGATACCTAAGATGTGTTGTAATGTTTGCCTTACTGTTGTTGGGTTTTGGGAAGGTGTCCAGTATGACATACAAGCTGAATTTACCGTACTAACATGCACTTAGTGCATCTGTCTTCAAAATTCCTCATACACTAACAAAGAAATCAGCAACATGGTAACAGAGGTTGCAATTAATTTGCTTCCTTCTCTCAAGCTTTTGCATAATTCAGCCATGCTATTAGAAACAAATATTCCTTTTGGATATTAGACTATGCTATGTTTATTAATATGGTTCACAGGAACATGGGAGGAAATCCTGGTGGTCGTCCCAGTCTTTAGAAGTAAGCATGAGTAACCATCAGTTTGACCTACTTCCAGGAAGCTTTTGTTATGAGGCCTTCAGTCTCAGTCTCTCTCTCTCTCTCTCTCTCTCTCTCTCTCTCTCTCTCATGGGTACATTCACACACAAACACCTCCTTCACAAGTCTTCCCTTGTTGTCTTGTCCCTGGCAGCTGATAATGATGTACAGTGGTGCCTCGCATAGCGACGATAATCGGTGCAGCAAAAATCGCTGCAAAGCAATTTCGTCGCTATGCGATTTTAAAAAGCCCATAGGAATGCATTGAAACCCCTTCAATGCGTTCCTATGGGTTTCAGACTCACCTTTAAATGAAAATCCTCCATAGGGTGGCCATTTTCGCTGCCTGGTAAGTGAGGAATCTGTCCCAAAAAACAGCGGGTGGCCATTTTTTTTACCCGGTGGCCATTTTGGAACCACCGATCAGCTGTTAAAAATCATCGCTTTGTGATGATCGGTAAGCGAAACAGGCTACCGATCTTCGCAAAGCGATTTTTGCCCATTTAAAACATCGCAATGCGATCGCTTTTGCAATCGCAGAATCTTCATCGCTATGTGATTTCGTCGTTAAACGCGGCGCCTGTTAAGCGAGGCACCACTGTACAATTGTCCCATTGTTAGAGCATCTAATTGTGAACGTCAGGAGTGTATCTTCTGCATGTCCAGTGCATTGGGGGAAAATATTTACAGATTGGTTAAAAAGGCATAGATAATGTCATGGGTTTCTGTGCTGGCTCCCTGGACGTAAATGGTCAAGATGAAGATACTTAACACTTTAGAGTGCCTGATGTGTTCATGCTTCACTAGGAGGCACCAATGAATAAAGCACAGTCTTTCTCAAATGTCGGGTTTGTCACTGCTTGAGTTTTGTTTCTCTTGTGTATCAAGAAGAATAGTTCATTGCAAAATTATGGTTCCTCTCGTCTGCCCTTATTTTGCCGTGTTAATTCATCTCATTCAGTCTTCTATTTAAACACTTCTACCTGGAAAATTGAATTGGGATTCTGTGATGTTCTGCTCTTTGAACAGAAGATGTGTAATTGTTTGATTGAATCCTTGTGGTCAGTGTGGGCTTTGTGTGATTATAGAAAGGATTGAGATCCTAATAATATTATCTTTCCACCTCCTTCCTTAGGATTGGCAGCCTCCCTTTGCTGTAGAAGTGGATAACTTCAGGTTTACTCCACGGATACAGAGGCTTAATGAGTTAGAGGTGAGTTTTGCAGGTATAGTGAAGATACAGTATCTTTCACAGGTCTTGCAAGGCTAATAGGTCAATTCCGTTCTACTAAAACTGTATTGATTTGCAGTTAAATAGTTGGTTTCAAAAAACAGTTTCAATCTATAATGACAGAATATTAACAGTTTGAAAGAATTTTATATTTATGGAGTGCAATTTGTTAAAACACTTCTGCGGAAACATTCTAAATGATTTTTGCATATTCTGGACTATCTGGTTTTAATAGTGTTTGCATTACATTGTGCACATTCTTCTGCTTCACCCTTGGTTCACTGTATGTGGGATCCTGTGCTTTGTGTTGTATTTTCCAAGGGATTTGTTTCATATATTTCTTAAGACTGAGTTGTGCTTTGCTGAGACAAGTGATTTTAGGTCACAATCCTAAACAAATTTGTCGTAAGACAAATTCCTTGAACACAGTTGACTGATAAAACACTGGTTCTCTAGATGAGAAGATGAAATATACTGAAGAACATTATGGTGAAATATTGAGACATGAGACTCCCATGACTGGCTAGGTAGTGCTGGTCTGTAGATCCTAGCAAATAAAATCAGTGGTGGAGAATGAAGGGAACTGCATTCCAGCAACATTTGGGCAGGGATACATGTTCTCTATTCTTGATGTAGTCATTTTCCCTTTGGACTTGGAGAGTGACTGAGGGAACGTAGTCTCCAGATTTGAGAATAAGGACTAGTGGAGTCCTGATGGAAAATTCTGATTTTCAAAAGAAACGTCTTGGTGGGACACTGTCATAGAAACATTAAAATAAATATTTACTCTTCTCCTTTCTGTGCACAGCAGAAAAAGTATTAGCCTGGCTAGAAATATATCAGCTTTACTACTATAAGAACTGACTGCATTTCACCATGGTGAAAATGAGCTCAAAATGGAGGGAGGCGGTTTCAGCTAAAAGATAACAGGGTGATGTAGATAGCTCTGTTATATGTTGCTGGCCCAAGAGAGACAAACTGTAATTTGTTACTGTATGTCCACATTGGCAGGCACAGACCAGGGTGAAGCTGAACTACTTGGACCAGATTGCAAAATTCTGGGAGATCCAAGGCTCTGCACTGAAAATCCCCAATGTAGAGAGGCGAATCCTTGATTTGTACAGCCTGAGCAAAGTAAGTTGGAATTCCTTCTGAGGAAGCAAAGGGAGAAATTATTGTAATGCCTAGTGTCTGAGTAGGAGTGGTAGAAGTGATGACTGTTACTGCCCCTGGCTGATTTAGAAAATATCTTGTATAGGCTAGTGGTTGAAACTGAAAGAAGCTTTAGGTTTTCATTTGGTAATTTTAAGAACCAGAAACTGTTGGTATAATATATAGGAGTATGTGTTACTTGTGTGTAAGGAGATTGCATGACATTAACTGTCCTTGGGAGGCTAGTTGTTTCTCAGTATTCTTCTGTTCCAGATTGTGATGGAAGAAGGTGGATATGAAGCCATCTGCAAGGATCGCCGGTGGGCAAGAGTAGCCCAGCGCCTTTCCTATCCATCAGGGAAGAACATTGGCTCTCTTCTTCGCTCCCACTATGAGCGCATTATCTACCCTTATGAAATGTACCAGTCTGGTGCCAACCTGGTGGTGAGTATTTGTTTCTGCAGTATTAGGTCCTCATCTTTCTATTGCTGTTCCACAGAAATCCTGGCTGAGGCCCTTACTGCCTGTATTTGGTGGTAGACTGGATGCACTCAGAAGTGCTCGATCTTAATATTGCTCCCTCTCCCCCAGCAGTGCAATACCCATCCATTTGACAATGAGGAGAAAGACAAAGAGTATAAGCCACACAGCATCCCACTGCGTCAATCAGTGCAGCCTTCCAAGTTCAACACCTATGGCCGCCGAGCCAAGCGTCTGCAGCAGGAGGTGAGTACAACACACACTTCTAGCCCTAATTACAATTTTTGTTGTAGGTTGGGCAGGCCGGTAACAATCAGGATTACTGAACACACCCCTTTCCCTGACTCTGCAGAAATCCTTATTTGGCCCCAGGCTCACAGAAGTACATCCTTCCCCCTCATAGAAGTATTACTCTTACAGGTCTTAAGGACTGGAAAAGTTTGTTCTTTTTTTCTTTTGCAACCCTTCTAGGATAAAGCCTCTAATTACTTCAGAAATAACCAAACTGGTGATTTTTAATTTATTGAAAAATTTTTCATATGGGCACACTGTATGTGTATTTTATAGGAAGTGAAAATCTCTGTTCCTGCAGGAGTTTTGGGATCATGCAGAACCTAATAATAGCATGTTGTAGCAGTAGATAGAGCACAAACATTTGTTTGTTAGTTAAAATATATAGGCTGCTTTTTTGGAAAGTGCCTTCAGAGCAGCATACAAGAAAACAATTAAAAGATCAGCAAATGCAATGTTGTTGGGAGTTGAAGAAAATACAGTACTCAAAGATAAGAGCAAACAGCCAAACTGCATACAACAGCCACAGTACACAAATCCCAGTATATAATTCCAGTATATACTGCATACAGAACTATACCTGTGGTTGCATTATATACAGAATTACATAAATTATGGTAGCAACAATAGGAATCTTATGATCTGAGTCTTGTGACAACTGCAAAATACAACTAATGAAAATTATTCAACTCTGTATGATTGCCAAGTACGTGTTAGATAGAGCTGCGTCTTGGAGGAGAAGAAAGCATTATTCTCTGTTCAACTGCATATTAATAGTTGCTAGGTTAAATTGGATAAGGCCATACCACAATTAAAAGGATGGCTTACCAGTGAATTTTATCTTGTCAAATATGCTAGTCTTCAGTAATCTTTTTTCAGCATAAGGAAGGGATTAGGTGGGTTACCATGGGTGGGCATTCCAGAATTTGAGTGATGTGACAGAGAGAACCCTATAATACATAGCTACACCCTTATTACTAATAGTAATGAAGTGTGGTAAAATCTCACCAGATCTCAGTGGATTATCAGCATTAAACAAGAATTTTTTTTTTGTCCTGGACCAAACTGTTCAGCGCTTCAAAGTTTCCCTTGGGATTAGTAGGGAGTTGGGTTCCTCAGAATGCAGTTGAATATTGGTCTCCTGAGTTTCTTCCATCACGTCTTTAGTGGGAAATGATTTGAATAAAAGGAAAGAGTTTCAGGAAGTCAAAGCATATAGAACTATACCTCATACACAAGGCTAACTCCTTGGCTTGAAAAATTGGCAGCTGCCCCTACCCCCAGGATCCAAGAAGGAGATTGAAATCTCCACTTCGTCTGCAAAAGCCTTCTTTGCAAGGTTGCTTGAAATTCCGTCCTTGCTCCCATCTATTGAATGCATCATTAAAGGCTGTGCAGAGGATTTCTCTGTCCTTTGAATAGTAGTAAAAAGAAATGGAAGGAATTAAGATCTAATCTGTTCTTCTGAATAGCTTCTCCTCCTTCATGTATTCTCTCTGTAAAATGGGACCTCTCAAAAATAGTTGTAATTCCTCCTGCTCCCCCCTCCCCCCTGATTCCTGGAGAGTTAAGGAACCATTCAGGACCACATTCTGCCCAGTTGCAGTGGCTCCCCTTCTGTCTGCAGTTTAATTCTTTTAATTTTTATATGTTCAAGAGGAAGGAGTGACAAGATAGGTAGCCAGCTTCTGCTGTACAGTCCAGCAGTGCCTGGTTTGTTTCTTTTGCTGATACCCTCATTAAAATTCCTAGAACCCTCTTGCTGATCCCCACTCCCCACGCATTTTGTCGCCCTCCTACAGGAATCCGAATCGTGCCCTGAACCTGCCAGCGCCCCAGCTCTGTTACCTGAGCGAGCGCCTCAAGCATGGGTACTGTTCCTGTTCTGTCCACCTCTCCTGCCTCTTTTTCATTCTGTTTACTTGTGTTGCTTCGTAACTGAAGTTCACAGACCATATGCAGCAGGAGAGGTGGCCTAAGAAGGTTTAATGTTCCCATATTCCCACCTCGACTTCAGTTGCAATGGCTTCAGGAAATGTCCCGTTCTTAGGGCTGTAATTTGCCAAGAATTTTGCTCCATAACAAGATGAGATTTCTGTCATATAAGCTTAGACACAGCATTCTTGTAGTGTTCTCTCCCTTGCAGCAGTTGCTCTTACGTCTTCATTCCAGTCTGTTTTCTGCTGTTGCTTTTCTTTGCTTCTGTTTTCTGAGATTCTCTGTGGCACCGTTTTTAAGGCTAGTAGCCTCATCCTGCTATTCTCCCTTCTAACTATGCCTTCCTTGCAGCCAGAGCCAACAGAAGAAGACATTGAGAAGAATCCAGAGTTGAAGAAACTACAGATATACGGTGCTGGTCCCAAAATGCTGGGTCTGGGGCTTGTGGCTAAGGACAAGAACATGCGCAAGAAAGGTGGGAGTGATGAACTAGCCCCACAATTCGGGAATCAACAGAAGGAAAGTCTCTCTGTATTCTAAACTTATCCCCCCCCCATATAGACAAGGAGATGCCTGAGTGCCCTCCAACAGTGATAGTGAAAGAGGAGGCTCCTGCGCCAGAGACCAAGTTGGAGCCCACCTCACCCCGAGGCTATGCAAATGTGAAAGAGGAGCTGAGGCACAGTCCAGAACCTTGCACCAAGATGACTATGCGTCTCCGTCGCAACCACAATACTCAGTTTGTAAGTAAAGTCACCAGGATGTGTTTTTTTGTTCTTCATTAGCCTCCAAATGCCCTCTGTGCTGTACCACTACATTAGGTGTCCTGTGGTGGGTGAGGAAGGTAGCCCAAGTCTTTTACCAGCGAGTTGCTTCCCAGGAGGCCAGAGTTTGTGCCTTCTTTCAGTCATGCAGCAGAGGAGACTAGCTGCCAATGAAGATTTGAGAATGCTGGGACCCATTGTGGTTTTCTATGTTATAATTTTCTTAATTAAACAATAGTTCTAAGGTTTTGTGTTTTTTTCCCCCCAGATTGAGTCTTACGTTTGTAGGATATGTACGCGGGGAGATGAGGATGACAAGCTGTTGTTATGTGATGGTTGTGATGACAACTACCACATCTTCTGTCTCTTGCCACCCTTGCCAGAGATTCCAAAAGGTGTCTGGAGGTGCCCCAAATGCGTCATGGCGGTGAGTAGTCCCTGCCTACTCTGATGGCAGGCACAGAGAAGCCTTCCTGCCTGACTAACTACACATGTTGGGTTTACTTCAGCTAAATGTGGAGTTGTCTAGACAGAACCATGGATTATGGGATGATTCAAGAGTGTAACACAGGCCTGATTCAGCTTGGGCAGCAAAGAAGCCCATGGGCTATAAATCCTTTAACCAGTTTCTCTCTCCCCCCCCCATTTTTGTCCTTAGGAATGCAAGCGCCCCCCAGAAGCTTTTGGTTTTGAGCAGGCCACCCGGGAATACACACTACAGAGCTTTGGGGAGATGGCAGATTCCTTCAAGGCTGACTACTTCAATATGCCTGTGCACGTGAGTCCTGACACCTTTTGCATTGGCCCGTCCCACCTAGAACATGCCTCAGAGCATAGTGGGGCCTGGGTTTGGAAGGGGACCCCACTTCCTGTTCTTTGTTAGACTTTCCTTTTGTTGCTGATTCCTTCTTCGTGGCCTTCCACAGATGGTTCCAACTGAGTTGGTGGAGAAAGAATTCTGGCGGTTGGTGAACAGCATTGAAGAGGATGTGACAGTGGAGTACGGGGCTGACATCCATTCTAAGGAATTTGGAAGTGGCTTCCCCATCAATGACGGCAAAAGGCAGCTCTCTCCAGAGGAAGAGGTATGTCCCAGTCCTGTTGGAGGCAGTCACACTCCTCCTACATATTTGGCCTCTGGCACTCTGCTTCAGCCTCCCAGGTGAAACTGAACCACTGGCGCCTTGCTTATCATTGCAGGAGTATGCAGCCAGTGGCTGGAACCTCAATGTGATGCCAGTGCTGAAGCAGTCGGTGCTATGCCACATCAACGCTGATATTTCAGGCATGAAGGTACCGTGGCTCTATGTGGGCATGGTGTTTTCTGCCTTCTGCTGGCACATCGAGGATCACTGGAGCTACTCTATTAACTACCTCCACTGGTGAGATATCGGGGTTTGTGTGTGTGATCTGCTATCTAGCGTTTGCTAACTTCTTAACACGTAGGGCTCGTCCCGTGGAGGTAAGAGAATAATGCATGCACATTACAGAATTTAAAAAGCACAGTCGGGTGTCAACATTTAAATCCTACTTGAATCCAGACGAAAGGAAAAAGCCAGTGAACAAAAGTCTGCTTTTATGGAACTTTACCTATAGCTTGCAGAGTACTCCTTCCGAAAGATTCAACTCGGTTACCTCTGTCTTACTTTTGCACTCCTTTCATTCACCTCAAAACTCTGATCTATCATGTAACCCACGTTTGAAGAAACAATATAACTCTACCATCTCTGCCTCTGTCTGGATCTACTTAGGGAGACCTGCCTCCCTCACTGCTGTAATGCTGAACTTTGGAGAAGAGATCTAGATGGGTGTGGTTGAACAGGTGCCAAGGCATCAGTGAAGGCAGCCTTTCCTGATTCACCCTTCCTTTTTGTAGGGGTGAGCCCAAGACCTGGTATGGAGTGCCATCCTTTGCAGCCGAGCATCTGGAAGACGTCATGAAGAAACTGACCCCAGAACTGTTTGAGAGCCAGCCAGACTTATTGCACCAGTTGGTGACACTCATGAATCCCAACACACTTATGGCTCATGGGGTCCCGGTGAGTCATCCTTTTCAGATGCTCATGCCCTCTTGCTGCCCATCCCTCAGTTGCTGGTCCTGTTTTCATTGCTGCTCTCCCTTTTGCTTCTGCAGGTTGTCCGGACCAACCAGTGTGCTGGAGAGTTTGTCATTACGTTCCCTAGAGCCTATCACAGTGGTTTCAACCAGGGCTACAACTTTGCTGAAGCAGTCAACTTCTGCACTGCTGACTGGGTGAGTTTGGAACCAGCCAAGATTTCTGCACGTTATCTTGTTCTAGAAAAGAGCACAGTGGACTGCTAAAGGGAGGTTTGAGGGTGGTGAATACAGACTACTGTGTATGGTGCTGCTGAGTGCAAAGTGCACCTAAATGCTCCAGAATTCTTCAGCTATATCTGACAACAAGCCTGTTTTTTTCCCCCTTCTGTTTCATCTTTAGTTGCCGGCCGGTCGCCAGTGCATTGAGCACTACCGGCGCCTGCGCCGATACTGTGTCTTCTCGCACGAAGAGCTAATTTGTAAGATGGCTGCTTGCCCGGAGAGGCTGGACCTGAACTTGGCAGCCGCTGTGCATAAGGAGATGTTTATCTTGGTGCAAGAGGAGCGCAAGCTGCGCAAAGCTCTCCTGGATAAGGTGGGGGTTGGTTGCTACCCTCGGACGAAGGCCAGCTTGTTGTGGTGCTAATTGTGGAAGGTCTAGCAATTGATGAGTGTTTCGCTCCCCTCCCCCACAGGGTATCACGGAGGCAGAGCGGGAGGCTTTTGAACTGCTTCCGGACGATGAGCGCCAGTGTGACAAATGCAAGACGACCTGCTTCCTTTCAGCTCTGGCTTGCTATGATTGTCCCGACTCTCTGGTCTGTCTCTACCACATCAATGATCTCTGCAAGTGCCCCAGCAACAGGCAATACCTCAGGTGGGCAGAAAAAAAGAGACTGCCTTACCAACAAAGTATCTGTTTCTCTGGCCAAACTTTTGCTGGCTAACTTTTCATACCCTGCTCTCATTGTATTCGCAAAAGAGGCTGTGCCAAGACTGAGCAGGCCTGGTTTAAGAATATTGTGGTAGGCTTTGTCTGATTCTAGTGTGATTTTTTTTTTTTTTAGTCATCCAAGAACGTAATGACTGCCTTGTCTCAGCAGTATCTCTCTCTAGAGTGTTTAAAGATGAGGCTGCCTTGGGCAGATTTGGAAACACCTGATGGGGGTAGGACACATGGTTCAGAAAGGCATAAGATTGCAAAACAGGTTTCATCTTCCTCTTGCTAGCAGACTAAGACACAGCTGGATTGAATTGTCCTTAGCAAAGGAATCTCCTTGCTCTGTCCTGGATTTGCAGGGTGGTTGCTTACCAGCCTGTCTTGTTGTCGCATCACCAACCACACACAGAGAAAGAGGCATTCAAAGCGATGCTGTTGTGTTGCCTTTCTAGTGTGCATGTTGGCTTAGAGCTTTAACTAGATACATCCATAGTCTAGACGAGTATTGTATGGATATAGTTCCACAAAATGCAGAAGAGTCTGCAAACTCAGGTACAACTCAAATCAGTAATGGACAGGGAGGCATGCAAGTAGAATAAGTTTCAGAACAAGGCCAAAATCTGAATACCTTGGGAGAAGCACAGCAGCACTTCTGCACCTTAATCTCACATATGGAATACTTTTCTATCATAATCAGGTTTTATAAGACAGTGGCTGAAATGCTGTTGGACTAGAATAGGCTCAGTGAATCAGGGAGGATTTGATAAGTCAACTCCTTTGTAGGTCCCATTCATTCAGTGGGTCTACTCTAGTTGTGACTTTCTACACCAAGCAACAGGATTTCAGCCAGTGTTGCGAAGATCCATTATTATGTTTAGTGGTGAGATAATTACATGAATGAAATGCTACAGATGTGAATGAATGAAATGAAATGCTACAGATGGTTCTGACATAATGCGACAGATCAGGTGGTAAAGTTCATTTATAGGTGATGTTTGTATTCAAAGCCTCTTAAAGTGAGGCTTCATTTGTAAGGAAGTCTGTAACTCCCACACAAGGTTTGGACTGTATTTGGTTTGGTAAACAAGTTTCTGTTGGCTGTGCTCTAAAGGAAAACCAGACAGATCTTTTTTCCTCATTTGTCTGTCTTGCTCGTTTGTCTTGTCTCTTGTTTAGGTATCGGTACACCCTGGATGAGCTCCCAGCCATGTTACACAAGTTGAAGGTCCGAGCAGAGTGCTTTGACACGTGGGCCAACAAAGTTCGAATTGCACTGGAAGTGGAAGACGGGCGCAAGAGAAGTAAGCGGACCCTGTCCATTGGGTTCCTTTAATTCTAACTGAGAAATGCAGTTAATCTCTATGATCTGGGTGAGGAAGTGCCAGTGTGCTTTCAAAGCCCTGTTAATTGACACTCAATATGCTGAAACACAGCGTGAGCAGAAAGGGCACATCCAATAGACACTAGGGGGAATATGGGGGAAGCAAGAGAGGTGGAGCCAGTTGCTGTTACAAGGTAGGCAAGGGCTTCTGGACCACAGGGATTTGGATCATGTAAGTGGGAATGAGAGGGATAAAAGAGCTGGTGCCCTGTTAACCATCAGCCTCCTTAGGGATGAGTCCCAGGCACTAGAATCTCTGGGGAAACTCAGCAGTTCCTTGGCTTTTTCATTGCATTGCTTCCTCAGATGGATAGTTTTCTACAATTAGCTGCGTAGACTGAGAAAATGGAGTTGTTATTAAAACCCACTGTATGACTCTGCTGTTACAGCTTTGGAGGAATTGCGTGCCCTGGAGTCAGAGGCCCGTGAGAGGAAATTCCCTGAGAATGAGTTGTTACATCGGTTGAAGAATTGCTTGAGTGAGGCAGAGAAGTGCGTCTCGGAAGCCCTGGGTCTCATAAGCAGTCAAGAAACAGGGTGAGTGGAGGATCTCTGATAATGAGCATTTATCTTGAACAGTATTATCACATCAAGATGCGTGGCTGTTTATCCAGGGGACTGAGGTCTTTTTGCCGTATGGTTTATCTCCTCTGTTTTCTGTGAAAGGATTGAGCTTGTTCGGGTAGACTGGCTCACTTTAAGGTGATGAGACTGCTTGCGTGCTCCTTTGCCTTATTGACTGCTAATTTCATGTTGGCTGAGTTCTTCAGCTCTTCTCTTAGATGACTGTTAAGTGTATTCCACCTTTTCTCCTGCTTACTCTTACAGAGAACCATCAGTCCATATGACCGTGGAGGAGCTCTGTGCTTTCCTTGAGCAAATGAGCAACCTGCCCTGTGTCATGCATCAGATAAAAGAAGTCCAGGTGCGCAAAGTGCAGTTTTCTGTGCCCCTTAACCACAGCAGGCGACACCTGATGGCCTGCATGGGTGCTACTTGTGGTATGAGACATAGCTTTGATTTGAGATCTTTCTTCTTTTCTAGGCTGTGCTGGAGAAGGTGAAAGCTTTCCAAGCTGAAGTTCAGGAGGCCCTGCAAGATCTCCCCGGCAGCTCCCCAGAACTCCACAAACTGCTGGCTCGGGGGACACGGCTAGGGGTAGAGGTGCCTGAGATGGAACTTTTGGAGAGGCAGGTGCAACAGGCTGTCTGGCTAGAGGAGGTCAAGCAGACACTGCGTTCTCCCCAGGATAAGGTGACACTGTCTGTCATGAGGGCGCTCATCACCTCTGGCTGTGGAGTGGCCCCCAGCCCTGCTGTGGACAAGGCCATGGCTGAGCTGCAAGAGCTGATCACCATCGCCCAGCGTTGGGAGGAGAAAGCCCAAATGTGCCTGGAAGCAAGGTGAGGTTTGGACCTCTCAGTTAAGGACAGAGGTGGTCAGGAGTCCGTGGCTTTGAGTCTGAGGATTTCAGCTCATCAAAGACAGTTGGTGCTCTCGTGGGAGGGGGCAGTGTTTGTGCAGGTACATGTCCATGAAAACTTCTTTCTCATAGTCACTTCATCTGTCATAGGCAGAAGCATCCACCAGCTACTCTGGAGGCAATCATCAAAGAGGCAGAGAACATCCCCGTGCACCTGCCCAATATCCTGTCACTCAAGGAGGCACTATCTAAGGCCCAGGCTTGGATTGCGGATGTGGAGGAGATCCAGGTGGGCTGCAGTCTTAAGGCCTGGGTTAACTGAGCTTGCATTTGTTGTTGAGGCTTCAGGATGTTGCAGTATGTGTTGTCTCCTCTTCACAGAATGGGGATCATTATCCCTGCCTGGATGACCTGGAGGGGCTTGTGGCTGTGGGTAGGGATTTACCAGTGCATCTGGAAGAGCTGCGTCACTTAGAGGTACAGGTAGCGACTGCACATTCCTGGCGGGAAAAAGCCTCCAAGACCTTCCTCAAGAAGAACTCCTGCTACACATTGCTTGAGGTTGGTAGCAAGGAGGGTGGAGGGTAGTGTGGCAGACTGACACCTACCCACAGAGCTGGTGGCTTCATTTCTCTGTCTCTTTTTCCCAGGTGCTGTGCCCATGTGCTGACACTGACTCAGACAGTGTCAAACGTACCAAGTGGCAGAGGGAAAAGGAGCCTGGCTTGTACAAATCAGACACGGAGAGCCTGGGCCTCTCAGCACAAGACCTCAGGGACCCCGGCTCTGTTGTGAGTTCCTGGCTTGGAAGAGAAATGATGTGTTCAGTTAATGAATTTAAAGGCCTTTTTCCACCAAGCATAGGCTGAAATATTCTGTCTGGGATAGTTTTTGGGAATTCCTAAGTGTTGCAGAGGACAGAGTTTGGTTAGAGTCTGCCCAAACTATTCACTAATTCTGAAGGTAAATGGGACCGCATTGCTACTAGGAAGTGAGAAGTTCACTTTCTGGGAGACTACTTATGCATTTATGTTCTTTATATGCCACCTTTATCCCCAAAGAAGGCCAAAGGCAGCTCACAGCAATTCAGACTATATAATCACAGATTTTAAAATGCTGTAGAAATTACATACCGTATATTAAAAAGCAAATAAACGTTTATCAGTATTAAAACCCGTTTTAAAAAAATAACCAAAATCTCTCAAGTTCAGCAGATAAAACATTCCTGATATTACCCACATATTGCTTAAAAGCCAGCCAGAAACGTTAGGTCTTTGCCAGATGACAAAAGGAAAGGTTGCAGCACATGCCAGAGCCTGGGAGCAGCCACTGGAAGGCCTGTCAGGAATTTGGGGATATGGGTTGCATGTTTTGATTTCTGCTTGTAACCTGCTGTACCTTGTTTGAAGAAGGGTAGATTAAATTTTCGTGAGTCAAAATGTGTTTGGTTAAGTTTTGTATAATTGCAATGACTTTGTTTGTGCCAGCAGATCATAGCTTTCAAGGAAGGTGAGCAGAAGGAGAAAGCAGGGATCCTACGGCTGCGCCAGTCCAACACCCAGAAGCCAGTGCCCTCAGCACACAGTCCTCCAGGGAGTCAGTACTGCGTGTGTTCCCAGCCTCCAAGCTCTGCCATGCTGCAGTGTGAACTCTGTCAGGACTGGTTCCACCCCACCTGTGTGGCTTGGCCCCGTTTGGGTAACCCCCGACCTTCTCCTGCATGGTGGGAATGGGATGCCAAATTCCTGTGCCCGCTTTGCCAGCGTTCTCGCCGGCCCCGCCTGGAGACAATCCTGGCTTTGTTGGTGGCCCTCCAGAAACTTCCTGTGCGTCTCCCAGAGGGCGAAGCCCTGCAGTGCTTGACAGAGCGGGCCATCACGTGGCAGGACCGGGCCCGTCAGCTCCTGGCTGCCTCAGAGGCAGTTGCTGCCTTGGAGCGACTGAAAGTGTTGCGGCAACGGCTGGTTGGGGACTCGACCAAGGAGGCAGGGGCACTCAAAGAGAGCAGCTGCAATGAACAGACCAAGGTGAGTGTGCAAGTCAAGGGGTATTTCCTCCTGGAATTGGCTTGCTGCCATGGGCAAGGGCTGCAGGTTTCCTGAAATGCATTTTGTGTTAATATGAGATTTTACTTTCTCTGTTCCAAAAACATAGTGTACACTTTGCATAGCTTGCAACGCTTGCTATTTATGGGGTTTTTGAAGAATTTGTGACTTTGGTTTTTAAATGAAGAAGACTATGGATGGATATGCAGAGGAATACAATGTGAGGGGTTTTTACATTAGCATTAAAATGAAGACAAGTGGAGGTATTTGAAAATCCATATCCTCTGTCAAGCTCTTGCTTCAAGCATGTGGTTTAGAATACTCTGTCAGTACTGTGAGCTAAAAAAATGATTGGTTGGTCCACATCTGTTCATCTATGTAAAATTCAACACACGTGAACCTATTATTGCTGGAGCCTTATTCCTCTTGCTGCAAAAAGATGCTAACATTACAAGGCAGCTCAAGCATAATTTCTTTGCCAGAACCTAGCTCCTATGTTGGTTTTAGCATAAACATAAAATATATATGATCTGACTGGGATAAAATAAAATAAAGATGGAAACAATCCATGGAAGAACTATAGAAAAGATATACAAATATGATAGTGTCCTTCAGGGACAAACTGTTTGACACAGAACTTAAAAGTTTTAGAAAGCAAAATGTAAGCAGTACTCAAGACAGTGCCAAGATGGGATAGGATACAAGTAAAGCTGTTTCACAGAGATTGAAGCTATCAAAATGCTGACAAGAATATGCTGAAAAATATGGAAAACCAGACAGTGATCCACAGACTGGAGATGTTCAAGATACATTCCAAGCCCAAAGGACATATCCAAGATTGTGGCAACTGGAGGACCGTCAAATTAACTTTCACTGCAATCAGTTTGATCCTCAGCGTGTTGCAACAAGGACTTTTACCCTGTACGGCATGGGAAATGCCTGATGTTCAAGCAGGATTCCAAAAATGAAGAGGAGACTTTTACCCTGTACGGCATGAGAAATGTCTGATGTTCAAGCAGGATTCCAAAAATGAAGAGGCACTAGAAATCATGTTGCAAATGTATAGCATCTGCTGGGGCATACCAAAGGATTCTGAAGAAAATAATTGTGCTTTGTAGATTACAGTGGTGCCCCGCTTAATGATTACCCCGCTCCACAACGAATCCGCTTAATGATTAGGTTTTTGCGATCGTAAAGCAAAAAACCGCTTTACGATGATTGGTTCCCTGCTTCGGGAACCGTTTTTTCGCTTTATGACGATCAAAACAGCGGATCGTCGGGTTTCCAAAATGGCTGCCCGCTGTGCAAAATGTCTCCCTGCTGTGTTAAGGGATGGATTCTTCGCTCTGCAGGGAGCAGAAAATGGCTGCCCTATGATCTTTACTTTACGATGAGGTATTTCACCCATTAAAATGCATTAACCGGTTTCTAATGTATTCTAATAGGCTTTTTAGTTTCACTTGACAACGATTTCGCTCTGCAATGATTTCGCTGGAATGGATTAACGTCGTCAAGCGAGGCACCATTGTACAGTAAAACCTTTGGCTGTGTAAGTGATTAAAAATTGGATTGTTTCGAAAGAAACGGGAATGCCACAACATGTGAATGTCCTGGTGTGTAAACTGTATTCTGAGAAGAGGCTACAGATACGAGAGACTGTGGAGAAACAAAATGGTTTCCATTGGTGAAAGAGTCAGTCATGGATGTATTTTATCTCCCTGCCTGTTCATCTTGTATGCAGAACATCTGTGGAAAACGAGTAGATTCAGAGGAGGATGAAGGGAAAACATCAACCATTTAGGATACACAAATGACCCCATATTATTGGCAGAAAACAGGAATGGTCTGAAATAATTACTAATAAAGGTTAAAGAAGTGTAGAAGTGAAATTATAGGTGAACATTAAAAAGACAAAAATAATTATTATGGAAGACTTATACAGCTTTAATGGGGACAGTGAAAGAAATAATGTTGAAAAGACCATCTTGGTTCAGTCAGCAACTAAGGTTGAGACTGCAGTCTGGAAATCAAAAGGAGATGGAAGTTTAGAATGGCAGCTATAAAGGAAGTAGAAAAGATCCATAAGAGGAAGGATGTGTTGCTGAAGAGTAAAGTGACTATCATTCAGACTACAGTATTGCCAGTTGTTATGTGAAAACTGAACAGTTTTAAAAATCTGGCAGGAAAAAGATAGATTGCTTTGAAATGTGATGTTGGGAAGAGAGTTTACAGATGCCATTGACTGCCAGAAAGACACATGAATGGATTCTAGAGCAAATTGAGCCTAAACTCTGACTAGAAGTTACAATGACATTGAGACTGTCATGCCTGGAAGACAAGAGAAAAACCTGATTTGAGATGGACCAATTCAATAAAGGAAGTCACTGTTTTTAGTCTGCAAGATCTGAGCAATGATGGGACATTCTGAAAGTTATTATTTCATAAAGTAGCCATATGTTGGAAGCCACTTGGGTGGCAACAACAGTCTAGCCCCTAACCACTTTCCTTGCCGGTCAGCTTTTTTTCAGGCCTATAACAAGCAGACCTATGACTTGTTATCCCACAACTCACCCTTACCTCAGAGTCCATCACCTCATCCTTTCTTTGGTCATTGCCAGCTTTGGCTCACATTGGTTTAGCCACCTTCTTTCTGGGCTTGTTTTTCTAGCATTTCCCTTGCTTCTGTTTAGCATGCAACAATTCCTCAGAATATGCCTCTTTCACTCCCTCTGTGACGAGCCCTTTGCTTCAATTTCCAGTCTTTGTCTTTTTTATCAAGTCTCACTTTTCCCAATCGTTTCTCTATTGGCCTGTTGGACACCTCTCTTGTCATTTCATTCACTGTGGGCAGTCCTTGAGCGGTGGACCGCATCCTTTCCTGGTTGGTTGGTTTCTCTTTTGCATCCCACCTGGCAAAAAAACATTTTCAAAGCAAATCAGCTGTATAGGAGCCGCACAACTTCTTATTATTAAGGAGGGTACTTCACTGAGGTTTCTGGTGTATGATCTACTTAAACAGGTAGGCAATCTCTGTGTGCGGTGTTTACTTGGAAAAAAATGTGCTTCTGTTTCCATCTGATTTGCAGTGGCAAAAATTATTCACTTTTTAGCAGGTGAGCAATATTGCATGGTGACTGTCACCTTGCTTTTAAGAGGGATAATGTTCCCTGGCAGATTTACATGATCTTGTATGAGGTTCTAAACTCTTGATAACTTTTTGTTGCAGAAACCTTATCGTCCACCTGCTTTATATTCTAAGCAACTGACTATTTTAAAATAGTACAGTTGATCACTGGTTTCATAACTGAAACTAGAATGCAATGTGGCTCTCTTGAATTATCTTCTCTTGACTGAGGTGTGACATCAAGTGAATCTCGGCTTGAGCAGATGTTTTTGTCACAGCCTAAAGGATTGCTGTGGTTCCTGTGAGGTGCCAGGTCAAAATTGCATTGGTGATTCAGGAGTCCCCTTTCATCACTTTTCTAACCTTCCTTTCCCCCAGGTTTCCTTGGAGAATGGGGACTCGGCAGCTCCAGAGAAGAACAGCACCTGTGCCTCAGGTACTCCTTGAATAAAGTCTTTGTTTTGTTCAGGCACAGCAGGCTAGTTTCACTGTTTTATTTAGATTTCAACAACGCTGAAGTATGTCAACAGGCAGTGAAGATGGTTGTTTTAACCCCACCCCCCATTTTGCCTGATTCATTAGATCTCTGTGAGAAGATGTAGTCCCTGTTCTCTGCTGGCAGGATGAGGAGCCTGGCTTTTTGCTGTTTCTTCTCTGTAGTCATTTTTCTGTCTTTTTCACAGACCTGGAGATGCTCTGCTCTTACCTGCCACAGCTGCAAGGCCCTGTGCTGGAGTTGCCTGATGCCATTCGTCTGCCCCTAGAAGAGCTACTAATGGAGGGCGACCTTCTGGAAGTGACACTAGATGAGAGCCAGAGCATTTGGCGCCTGCTACAGGCTGCGTGTGCCCCCCAGGTTGACAAGTTTCGCCAGCTGCTAGACGTAAGTGTCTGTCTCTGTTCCCTGCTGTCTCCCTTTATTATGTGTGTCTGTGTGAGAGAGATGGAGGGAGAACAAGTCTTCTGTATTCTTTGCTATACTTGAATACATGATACTTCCTTAAACGGAAATATTGCAGCACACCTTTCACTGAAAATTGCAGCTTGTCATTGTTTTTGGAGCTGAGTGCAGATTAGATAAGATCCTGAGAGCTTTTCCATCAAAGTTAAGGTCACTCAGAAACTGAATGACCAGAATCCTAGTGCTGATCCATGCTTTTATACCAGAAATTGCATAAGTCTTGGTGGCAAATTCCTGCTTGTTAAGGTGCTAGTTGCATTCAGGGCACACACTCAGTTGGGCAGGTGCTCAAGAGCAACCAACATCTCATTAGTGAGTGGCAGTTTGCTGACAAAACTTAACATGAGTTCTCGTATGCAACTGTAAATTCACGATAGGCTTCTGGTCAATGTCTCTTACCTTAATGTCTTTGTATCCTGCCTTCCCACATAATTGGGCTCAAGACAGCAGATAAAAATAAAATAAATCGTTCATTCTTGACGTGGTTTCTAGTGGCATTATAGCAAAGAGCAGATGCACTATTTGGAATGATGACAAAGCAGATTCCTAGAATGAGTGGTGCAGTTTTGCTGATGCTGCGTGAATGTTACTAGTGAGACGTTTTCCCCCTAGCGTGTGGTGTATTGGAGAGAGTAATGGACTAGGACTCTGGAGACCAGGATTCAAATCCCCACTTGGCCATGGAAACTCAGTGGGGAAACGGAACTAGTAAAGTCACTCCTTAAATATCTCACCTTGAAAGCCCTATAAAGGGTTGCCATCAGACAGTTCTGATTTGACAGCCTGTGACTAAGGGAGGACCACTGTGAGAGAGGAGTGGGCCATCTCGTGTAGCTTGTGACCAAGCAGCTGCTTCAAAATAGCATGTTGGCCCTATGCTGAGGGCTATTCTGCATCAAGAAAAGCCACATTTGTTGTTGGCTGCGCTCCGTAAATGTATGCAATTTTGTGGTTTGGGATTGTTTGGAATATTTGTGCAATGCTTTGAGTTAGTAAGTGCCCAAGGAAAATGGAAACTTGTAGGCTGGGCAGCAAGCAAGAGAGATTTAGAGCATAGAAGGCACATTGAAAAATCACATTGATTGATAACTGTTTTGCATCCTCAGCAGATTTCTCAGACTAAGACTTGCATCTGGTATGGTTGGAACTGCATAGTGTCATAATTAAATTTGTCATAGAGGAATGTGTAATTAAGCCAAATTATTACTGTGTATATGTATGTATGTGAGTGAGTGTGGAGTCCCACATATGTAGCAGAACTGGAGTGTTCAGTTTCTGTCTCCTTGATCCTTTCTAGCTGGAGCAGGCAGAGCGACGTGGCACCCGCGGGCGAGGCCGGGACTCGGAACGACGGCGGAAACGCAAGACGGAGCGTGGTGACTACCCCACCCTGCCCAAGGAGGAATTAGAGCCAAAGAAGATCCGGGGGGCAGACCCAGCACTGCCCCAGGGTGGGGCTCCCCCTGCAGCAGGCACAGATTGCAGCCACAATGGAGTTGGGGTAAATGGGGGATGAAGGGGAAAAAGTCCTGCTCGAGTTTGTGCGAGCCCTCGGGATTTGTTCTTTCCCCCCACCCATCCCCAGTTAGTTGAATACTGCCTAATGTATATGAATTTTTGTCTGCTTCTTTCCTAGCAGTTGTGACAATAAGAAGATGCCTGGATTTCCTTTCCTGGACTATACTGCACTGCAAGGGACTCTGGCAGCCCCCTGCCACCCTGTTGGTTTGACTAGCACTCTGGATTGGGGGAGGTAGCCAGCCCCAGAAGCTGGGGTCTGCCACTCCCCTCCCTCACCAGGACTCAGCACTGGCCCTGCACCAAACTCTTTTCAGACGGTGTAATATTTCATTTTCTTTGTCCTCCTTTTGTATTATTGATACCTCAGAAGGGGGAGGCATTGCAGGGGTCAGCGACGCGCAGGGGCCACCTGTTCCCTTTTGGCAGAAGCAGCAGAGAGCGCCGCCCTGCTGCTGTCAGGACTCGAGCTTTGCGGAGGCCTGTTCTGGGTGGGAGCAGCGTGTGCTGGGACTAGCCCAGGCTCATCACCTCAGGCAGTGAGAGGAGTCAGGTGCCCTCTTGAAGGTCGTGCCCCACTCCTCGTACCAGCATTCCCTAGATGCAGGAGAGACGATGCCTCCTGTTGGACAGAGGGGCAGCGCTCCCCAAACACCCCATCCTCCTCTGGTACCTGGTGGGTTTTATAGGAACTGGGGCAACCACTTTGTTCTTCGGGGAGGAGGAAAGGGCAAGGGATCTCTTGTTCCACTCCAGCCTCTACTCCGCCCTCACCCTTCCCAACCCTGCATCATGGGCCCCAAGGCTGCCTCAGGCTCTGACACTAAAGTCTTTTGTCTTTCTCTTTTTAGTGTTTCTCCTTTATTTTCTCCGGCAGAGGAGGGTGGGCTGTTGGGGGATAGGGAGGGGTGTGTTATTTTATTGTATTATGATTTTTTTATTATTATTAAACTTTGGAGGTTAATGAACTTGCTTGGCTTTTGGCGGAAGGGAAATCATGGGAGCGGGCGGGCCGGTATCTACCTTTACCTTGTGTAAAATGTGGGTGTACACAGGTCTGATACCAAATTTCCTTTCCTCTTGTAGGAAAGTCCACATCATTAAAGTTAGAAAAGCAGATGTCCTGCCCAAATGCAAACACACATAGCCAGTCAGATAAACACAGGATAAATCTGAGAAGCAAACTGTTAAGGATATAAAAACAAATACCAAATACGTCTTTAAATACAGCAGAAGCAGAAAACCAGACAGAAAAGTAGTAGGACCAGTAGATGAAAACAGAAAGGTGACAAAAAAAACCTTATGAATCTAGTCAGTCTTGCCATCAGAACATGGACACTGTATTGCATAGAGATGACAAAAGAGGATTTGCAATTAAAAATAATGAACAGCTGGTTTCATAACACTAACTGCTGGAACCTCTCCACTCTAAAATTAAATAGTTGACTTCTTGGCTAAAACAAGCAACATGTCAACACCATTGCCTGCTCTCTCTCTCTCTCTCTCTCTCTCTCTC